TTCATTATTTAGATTTAGTTCCAAACTGATCTTGTTCTTTATCATATATTTTTGGATGCTGACTTTGATTCTTACTTTGGATGCTGCATCTGACCTACATTTTACACTTGTATTGCCAATTATTGGCATAGTCTCCTGGCTCTCATGCTGCCTCTTACAATGTTGCATCTGCTGCATAGTCATTGAATGCTGCATTTAACCTACATTTTAGGTGTGATCAGGAAAAAGATAAGATTTAGGTGCTTTCTTTTTTTCATAAAAAAGAATCCTCTATGCAGTATTTGAATTATAGCATATATTGTACTGTGTTCTACAATTTTTGGTATATGTCCTTTTTGATAAGTGCATTTTTTTTTTGTGTTTTCCATGTATTTGTATATTGTTCAGCGTGTGAATTCCAATGTTTATTGTTTTCAATATTGTTTAATTAATGTTTGATTGTCTCATCTGCACACACATCTGTTTGTACGTCCACCACATCCCTCGCCTCACCTCAGCATCTCTGTCCAGACGTAGATGTAAAGTGAGTGGTTTTGTTTTCAATATTTAGGGCCCGCCATGATAATGATCAGTCTGTCTGTATGTCTATCTGTCTGATATTGTTTATCCAGAATACATTCTCACCTCTTGGCTCAATCTGGTTTAAACTGCAGTTACCTTAAACCAGTTTTCTAAGTAAAAGGTCAAAGTAAAAACCACATCTGCATGTAATCCTTATCTGGAGCATATTTTCTCTCATTGTAGCCCTTTCTGGCTTATACTTCACCTATATATAGTGCCAAGTGGTAAAGGATGTGAAATAACGAACAGTTTCTAGGTCAGAAGTCGAGGTCTTGTCATCTTTATCATAGTGAGCACATTTCTCTCCCCTTTGCAGAGTCCTTAAACCAAAGATCAGTGGTAAACAACATTTCTGTTTACATAATAAAATCTCCCAGGGTTTATGGTTGGATATGATTTTTATCCAACAAGGTTTGTGTTATTTTATAACAAGCCTTGGCTCTATTCAGCTCATATTTACTCAGTAACCCATAGAATTCCAATTTGTTTAATGGTGTACTTTAGCTTTAAACCAAATTTTGATCAGGTTTCAAGGTCATAGCAGACATCTGTGTGAAATTATTGTCTTGATCATTGTTTTGTGTTTCCTTGAGCTTAATCTCATACATCTTCCAGAATGCCATTGGATTGAAGATGCAAGTCAAATGTCAAGGTCCTTTGCAATGCCCTTTCGTCTTGATATCCTTTAGTAAGAGCGAGGCCCTTTGAGATGGGCACCAACTCATTGATGTTTAGTTGTATATACAACATCATGGTGTTGGGGTTCATCTTATACATAAAGAAAATATTTTAAGAATATGTATATATGTATGCCAAAAAAAAAAAAACCAAAAAAAAAAAAAAAAATACCAAAAAAATACCCAAAAAAAAAATACAAAAAAATACAAAAAAAAAAAAAAATACCAAAAAAATACAAAAAAAAAAAAAAAAAATACAAAAGATACAAAAAAAAAAAAAAAAAAAAAAAAAAAAAAATACAAAAAAAGTTAAATATACAGTTGAACTTTGGTATCCCGAACATTGATATCTCAAAAATCATGGATATATATAAGTGATTTATAAGTCTTTACCCTATTCTTTTAGTATTTTACCCTGGATATTTGGAATCCTAAGATGTTTTGAAATTTTTCATGGTCCCTTTGAGTTCGAGATTATGAGGTTTGACTGTATATATATATATATATATATATATATATATATATATATATATATATATATATATATATATATATATATATATATATATATATATATATATATATATATATATATGTATATATGTGTATTTAATCTTATAGATGCATGGACAAGCAGTATTTAATGTTACAGAAGCAGGAACAAGCAGTATTTTATCTTACAGATGCAGGGACAAGCAGTATTTTATCTAACAGATGCAGAGACAAGCAGCACCCAATTCTATGGGAGCAGGGACAAGCAGTATTTAATCTTACAGAAGCAGGGACAAGCAGTATTTAATCTTACAGATGCAGGGACAAGCAGTAGCCAATGTTTCAGATGCAGGGGCAAGCAGCAGCCAACCTTACAGAAGCAGGGACAAGCAGTATTTAATCCTACAGATGCATGGACAAGCAGTATTTAATCTTATAGATGCATGGACAAGCAATAGCCAATCTTTCAGATGCAGGGGCAAGCAGTAGCCAATCTTACAGAAGGAGGGACAAGCAGTATTTAATCTTACAGAAGCAGGGCCAAGCAGTAGCCAATCTTACAGATGCAGAGACAAGCAGTAGCCAACCTTACAGAAGCAGGGACAAGCAGTAATTAATCTTACAGATGCAGGGACAAGCAGTATTTAATCCTACAGATGCAGGGACAAGCAGTATTTAATCTTACAAATGCAGAGACAAGCAGTATTTAATCTTACAGATGCAGGGACAAGCAGTAGCCAACCTTACAGAAGCAGGGACAAGAGTATTTAATCTTACAGATGCAGGGACAATCAGTATTTAATCTTACAGATGCAGGGACAAGCAGTAACCAATCTTACAGATGCAGGGACAAGCAGTAACCAATCTTACAGATGCATGGACAATCAGTTTTTAACCCTACAGATGCAGGGACAAGCAGTAGCCAATCTTCAGATGCTGTGGCAAGCAACATCCAATCTTTCAGATGCATGGACAATCAGTATTTAATCTTACAGAAGTAGGGACAAGAAGTATTTAATCTCACAAAAGCAGGGACAATCAGTATTTAATCTTACAGATGCAGGGACAAGCAGTAGCCAATCTTCAGATGCTGTGGCAAGCAACATCCAATCTTTCAGATGCATGGACAATCAGTATTTAATCTTACAGAAGTAGGGACAAGAAGTATTTAATCTCACAAAAGCAGGGACAAGAAATATTTAATCTTACAGAGCATCTTTCAGATGCAGGGGCAAGCAGTAGCCAATCTTACAGAAGGAGGGACAAGCAGTATATAATTTTACAGAAGCAGGGCCAAGCAGTAGCCAATCTTACAGATGCAGAGACAAGCAGTAGCCAACCTTACAGAAGCAGGGACAAGCAGTAATTAATCTTACAGATGCAAGGACAAGCAGTATTTAATCCTACAGATGCAGGGACAAGCAGTATTTAATCTTACAAATGCAGAGACAAGCAGTATTTAATCTTACAGATGCAGGGACAAGCAGTAGCCAACCTTACAGATGCAGGGACAAGAGTATTTAATCTTACAGATGCAGGGAAAATCAGTATTTAATCTTACAGATGCAGGGACAAGCAGTAGCCAACCTTACAGAAGCAGGGAGAAGCAGTAACCAATCTTACAGATGCAGGAACAATCAGTATTTAATCCTACAGATGCAGGGACAAGCAGTATTTAATCTTACAAATGCGGAGACAAGCAGTATTTAATCTTACAGATGCAGGGACAAGCAGTATTTAATCTTACAGATGCAGGGACAAGCAGTAGCCAACCTTACAGAAGCAGGGACAAGAGTATTTAATCTTACAGATGCAGGGACAATCAGTATTTAATCTTACAGATGCAGGGACAAGCAGTAACCAATCTTACAGGTGCATGGACAATCGGTATTTAATCCTACAGATGCAGGGACAAGCAGTAGCCAATCTTTCAGATGCCGGGGCAAGCAGTAGCCAATCTTACAAAAGCAGGGACAAGCAGTAGCCAATCTTACAGATGCATGGACAATCAGTATTTAATCTTACAGAAGTAGGGACAAGAAGTATTTAATCTCACAGAAGCAGGGACAAGAAATATTTAATCTTACAGATGCAGGGACAAGTAGTATTCAATCTTACAAATGCAGGGACAAGCAGTATTTAGTCTTACAGATGCAGGGACAAGCAGTAGCCAACTTTACAGAAGCAGGGACAAGCAGTATTTAATCTTACAGAAGCAGGGACAAGCAGTACCATAATCCTACAGAAGCCGGGACAAGCAGTACCATAATAGTACAGAAGCAGGGACAAGCAGAACTTAATCGTACAGAAGCAGGGACAAGCAGCACTTAATCTTACAGAAGTGATAGCCAATCCTAAGATTGAGATGAGTGTAAGCAAGAGTACAGAGATCTAAAAAGGGTTAAGTCACAATCTTTACTCCATACACTCTGAGAGATTCAAGAACTTTTTCACTTGATGAAGTCTGAGTTTACCTCTTCACATTCTGTTTGAACAGGTAGAGAGTTAGACTGGAAACCATGTTTCAGAGCAGACTGTCATGATTCAACTAGAATGCCAGGAGTAAGGATGAACAGTGGCCTAACCTAGAAGTGAGGGTAAGACACAAATCTTCTCTGTTAAGGTCCCCATAATCTGAGATTCAGGGCAAATCACTTTTTTGTCTGTCCATCTGTCTGTTTGTTTGTCTGCAGAAACTTTAACCTTGACCCTAACTTTGAGAAGTATGTGTTAGGGCTTTCACATTTCATATTTCTTGTGACAAGCCCTTTCTTAGGATATCAATATTTTTGACCTCTTGACCAAGAGTGGCTTACTTTTGAAAAACTTTAATCTTGTCCATAACACCTGAATGATTGCTTCAACAGCTTCCATATTTCACATTTGTTTTTCTTGTGACAAAATCCCTTTCTCTGATGGCCTACATTTTTACCTCATGATTTTGACCTTTGAATTATTTTAGATATCATGACCTTGGATTTGATTTTCTTTTGAAAAGCTTAAATATTAGCCATAACAACTGAACAGCTGGTGCAAGGGCTTTCTTTTTTATGTGCACTCCTTGTTAAGGTCTTTTAGGGTGTACCAACATTTAAATAATTTATCGTGGACTGGGCATCTGTGTTTGAAAAACAACCTGTTTATGTGTGGGATTTTATATATTTTTTTTTCATTTGCTGAAATCTTTCTTTCTTTTATTGACCTTCATTTATTTTTTTTAGAGTATTAGATTGTCCTCCATCACCAGTTTTAAATTGGCCAGTTAGACAGAAAGAGAGTCCAGACCAGAAGGATCCACTGCAACAACCAACCATGCTAGGGTAATATACATAGTTTACGTCTTGTTTATCTCTTCCTTAATTTCTTTTACATTGTGTTCATAAGAAATAGTTGCAGTAATATAAGCATTTATTGTTCTGCCTTTGCAGGGGGAGAGGTTGGATTGCCTTGACCCTGCAGTGAAGAAGAGTCACCCCATAACCTGAGGCCTACCTTGAAAGATGTGGTAAGATTCTCTCTTTTCTTCTAACACAAATTCCTTATTATACCCCCCCCCACCCCACCCCCGGCTTGAAAAGTGAGGGTTATCTGAATTGCAGGGTTGCCTGTCCTTCCTTTTGTCTATCCATTACATTTTGAGGAAGCTATCTCTCTTATTTGCAACTTCTCAATAACCACTAAATAAAATTCAATGAGACTTTTAGATAGTCTTTTATTACAAAGTGCACTTATGCCTTTGATTTGACACATAATTGGGTTTCCCATATGTAATTGTGGAGACTGCCTTTCTGTCTTTAATATTTGGAGTACCCATCTCTTATTCATAACTCCACCTATAACCATTGAATAAAATTTGAGACTTCCACAGAATCTTTATTTTATAGATTATTTTAAAGACTATTTTATGTTTTGGTTGTGCAATTAATAGGGGATTTCCATAGCAAAACGTGGAATTTGCAATAGTACACATATAAGAGGGGTTGTACCATTTTATGAGCTCCACGTTCACAGTACCTCTAATTTTTACATCGTTTTCAAAATTATCTAGACTGAGTCCCACTTTAACCTCTTGAATTTCAATTGACAGAATGCCTGTCTGAAGCAGCAGAATGTGGAACCTTTGCCAAGCAGCCTTAAATAGGTATAATCTTTTGTCCTTTCTCTTTCATTGCTTTAGAACTGTACTAATCTTTTGTCAGTTTCTTTTATTGCTAGGGGTACAGAGGATGGATGGACAGATGGCAACCACCAACACACTGAGGAGGAGACCATTGCCAGGATACAGGGTATCCACAATGTCAACAGGCCAACATTGGCCAAAGTGGTAAAAAACCAGCTATATTTATTGCATTTTGGATTTCTGTTGATTCAGAAAAGGGACTCTTTTGACCCCTTGAATTTTTATGTTAACAGATTATTGACTTGACAAGCCTTGATCCTACAAAAAAGACTCAATTAATTGTCACAATGAGTCAAGGAAGCAAAGATCAACTGCAGCCAACCATAGAAGAAAGGGTAAGATACAAAGACCTACTCTTTCTCCTTGTACAGACTCCATTTATTGTGTGCTTTCATACTTGATGTAAATATGAACCTCTCTTGATCTTAAATTTGTATTTTGCAGAAGCATTCAGAGACAATACCCATCCTAAGATTAAGCAGAGTGCATCACTTGCCAGCAAGAGTACGTAGAGCTGAAATTGACTGATGCTAATCCTACAGGTAAGGCAAAAGCTGCACTTCTTTTAGTATTTCAGTTGCATCACTCTTTCTCATTGCTTGATTAAAATAACATTTACTAATTACATTGTTAACAGGCAACCCTAGATCCTACAATTATGTTCAAGAGTAGATCCTCATGTTATAGAAGAGTTACGAGTATTGATTGACTGCAAGCTTCCTTATAGAGGAGGATAAGGTACATGCTCTACTCCATTCACTTTGAGAGATTTCAGAACTTTCATTAGATGAAGTCTGATAATTTTAACTTTCTGTTTTGTTGACCACTCCATATCTTGTGTTGACAGGAAAAAGGTTAGGCTTGCCTGGTTCCCGGGTTTTAGAGATGTCAGTTATGCGTAAACCAGAGAACCAAGATCAAGGACAGACTTTACTTTTACCTAGAAGTGAAGGTAAGATGCAAACTCTTCTTTTTTGACTCTCTGAAAGTTTGTTTTTCTTTGCCATTTGACTAAGTCTTAGTACTAGTGTTGTCACTGAGTACTTAGTTAACCAGTGTCAAACATTGATGTATAAGTATCATTTAGTAAAACTGCTATTTGGTTACTCAGACATAGAGACATTTTACTTGGTAATTAAGTGTAAAAAAAATCTTTTTTTAAAATAAATATGTGAAAAGCAATCTGATACCCATATGTATTCAATTTAAGGTCATACAAAAAGTACATGTACTTTCAATGTACCTCTCCCACTGATAATTTTCCAAGACATTTCAATTTAAAATCATGGTATCATTAGATGTTCTTAGACAAAAAAATCACCATATATTAACAGGAGTTTTGAACAGATATCAGTGATGAAAATCCTGTTTTTTTAAATTTTTTTAATTAAAAAAAACCAAAATTATACTTTTAACTGGTGTATTTCCTAAAAAAATTGATTCAGATGAGTTGTTCAAAATTTCCAGGCATCATGAAATGTTACAAAGGTCTTTCAATTATTGCAACTCTTTAACAACACAGGGAATAAGAAAATAAAGTCCAAAACTACATTGCAAATGTGTCCTTAATATCATTTCAAGGAGGGTCAATCAATGACAAGTAAACTGCTTTTTTTCTGAGATGGTTGTTGAAAATTTATTGGGTTAAACATCATGTTACGTTCAAACCTCAAAGTCCCCATGATGTTTACTATTCAACAATACATGCATTCATCAATAATAGTGATAATAAACATATCTGATTTAGCATTAATCCATTTGAAAATTTCATTAATATTTATCTTGTTAAGTTTTTTCAAGAATTGCTAAGAACTGGTATTGATAAATTGTACCATTCCCAATGCCAAAAAGTTAATTTTTCCCAATTTTGAGACGAAATATTCCTATTTCAACTGCCAAAGAACAGCCTATGATGATGTACTGTGAACCAAGTATTATTCACGTAAACTTTTATTAGTGACTCGTCAGTTTGAAATCAATCCACGACAATTAATTTTCCCAACTGAGGGAACATTCTCTACAAATACAAACCAAATTAAATGGTTTGCGGCAATTAATATTCGCGAGTTAAAGGTCACGAAACTTGCAAATATTTCTTGCATGTGAATAAAAGTTGGTTAACAGTAATTCTTTACATATAAAGTGTATGTGTTAGTTAATAAGGTTAGAATAAACACAAAATAAATTTCATTTGTTCTGTGTTTAACATATAAAGTACAATGAAACATTTTATTTTAGAAGTTAGATTTATTTGTTTATTTAAACATTTTACAAATGTAATTTAGACAGAATGGAGCCAGTGGTATGCAATGAGCCCAAGAAAAGGTTGTATTTTGATCTTATAAGCCAGAGACAAGGTGAGCTGTATTTTTTTCTTTTGCATGTATTTTTTGTTTCCTGTCCCTTCCCCATCCCCTTCCCTTTCTTACTTACATTACTAACATAAACCTTTTTGCTTTTTTCATTTATAAATGTTTGTGTCTTTCCTAAATATGTAATTTTCACATGTTTTTGTTGCATTAAAAGGTACTTTTTCAATTGTGTTGGAACTGTATTTATCCTGTGTCAGTTTTTACCATTATTAAGGGCACAGGGAGGGATGGACAGATGGCAGCAGATACCACACAAGGAAGAGGAGACCACTGCCAGGATACAGGGTATCCACTATGTCAACAGGCCAACATTGGCCAAAGTGGTAAGAAACGGGCAGCGTTTTTTGCAATTTAGATTTTGATTTTATATTTTCACTTTATTTAAGACTGGTACTAGTACTAGTTTGACTCTTGACTCTGTATGTTAACAGAATTATAGTTAGTCTCAATCCCGATACAAAAAAAGACAACACTACTTGTGAAGAAGAGTCCAGGGAGTTGGGATCAACTGAAGCCAACCACTGAATAAAGGGTAAAGTACATATCACTGATTTCATTTCTTCTGCTAATCTTAATTGTTGTAAACTGAGCTCTCTTTGATCTTGAATCTCAGTATCTAACCAAGCTAAAATAAACTGTAACTGAACTTTTAGATGACAGCAGGTATAGATAGATGCCAAATTGTGGACGACCACACAATGATGAGGAGGCCATTACCAAAATACAAGGTATCCACTATGTTGACAAGCCAACATTGACCAAAGTGGTAAGAAACAAGCTGCATATGAACATGAAGGAGCACGCAGTGAAGAAGAGGACAACATAAAGAAGAGGACCACACAGAGAGGAAGAAGACTACACAGAAAAGAAGAGGACCACATGAAGAGGAGAGGACCGCTCAAGGAAGAAGAGGACCACACAAGGAAGAGGAGACCATTGCCAGGATACAGGGTATCCGCTAAACCAACAGGCCAACATTGGCCGAAGTGGTAAGAAGCAAGCTGCATATGTAACATTTTTTGATTGCTATGTTTTATTCTTAGTCAGTCCAATTAGGACACTCATTTGACCTCTGGACTCAGTATATTAACAGAATAATGGTTAGAAAAGCTTTGATCGCATGGTAGAGGACACTGCCATCATTCACAACGAGGAGTCCAGGGAACCAAGATCCACAGCAGCCAGAAGAAAGGGTAAGATACAAATTAAATGTACTGAATCCATGGTTTGTGCTCTTTCACACATGGGGTCCATTTTAAGTGCTCATCTGAACTGATGTAGAATGAGCCTCCTTTGATCTAAAATCTCAGAATCGTACAACTAAAGTACTAAGAGCTTAATTAAACTGTTTCCCAACAATTTTTCAGGTGACAGCGGGTATGGACAGATGCCAAATTGAGGACAACCACTCAATGAAGAATAGGATCATACACTGAAGAGGAGGATCACACAATGAAGAAGAGGACCACACAAGGAAGAGGAGAACTAAACAAGGAGGAGGAGACCATTGCCAGGATACAGGGTATCCACTAAACCAACAGGCCAACATTGGCCAAAGTGGTAAGAAACAAGCCACATATGCTACATTTTTTTGATTGCTATGTTTCATTCTTAGTCAGTCCAATTAGGACACACATTACACCTCTTGACTTTCTTTATTTACAGAATAATGGTTAGGCAAGCTTCAATTTTGTGGTAGAGAATACATCTATCACTTTTTAGGAGGAGTTCAGGGAAGAGGGATCCACAGCATCCAGCCATAGAAGAAAGGTTAAGATAGAAATCAAATGTGCTAAATCCATTGCTTGTGCTCTTTCACAGATGATTATGACTGGGACCTCTTATATGTAAAATCTCTGTCTTAAAGAAACAAGGACAACCAGACCCTTTCACTGTCAAAGGTCTGGAAGATTACATCACCTGCTAGCAAGAGTACCAAGAGCTGGACACCCCACGCAGTAAGGAGGAGTACATTGCCAGGGTACAGGGTGTCCATTATGCCAGCAGCCATTTATTAGTCAAAGTGGTAAGAAACGAGCTGCATTTGTTGCACTATCATGATTTCTGTTTTCTCTTTCTGTCTAATTAGAACACATATTTGACTCTAAACTATCTATGTTCACAGAAGCCTTGATGGCAGTCTCCCACTCTCTGGGTTAGGAAGAGTTGAACACCAGCTAAAAGTACTGAGAGCCAGAATTGACTATGGCCTGCAGGAGACAGTAAGAAGTTAGACCTGCTACTTGTGTTGTGTAAATTGATATCCCTATTTCTCACCTGTTGAATTCTTTGTACCTTTATTAACTGATCTGTACACATTCTGTGTTAACAGACAAGGGACAAGGCTGGTCTTCATCGAATGTTTAAAAGCAGTTCTTCTTGTTGATGGAAAAGTTTGAAGAAAACTCATTGCCTGCAGCCCACTGTAGAAGTGAGGGTAATATACAAGCTCTACTCAATTCACTCTGAGATTCCACATCTTTAAGTACTTTAATTCTGTTAATCTCTTTATGTTCTTTGATAACAGGGAAATACGCTAACCTGGATTCAGTGTTCAAGAGCATTCATGTTTCAACTGGAGTTCCAAGAAAGTGATGAACTTTTGCCTAACATAAAAGTAAGATATAAGACATATTTTTCTTTTTTTTCTGTTTGAAATTTCACATTTCTTTGCCATTAGATAAAGTGTGAACATTCTTTTGTTATTAACCTTCCTTTGTTCTTTGTTAACAGACAAAGAGGTGGACTGGCCTTTTACACCAGTCTTAGAAGAACCTGCAGGACAGAAGAAGATTGGCTTGACCAGAACACCAGAAGGTAAGATACAGTTTTTACTCCATACTCAAACTTTCTCAGTAGGTCACCTAAATCCATGCTCAAACTTTCTCAGTAGGTCACCTAAATCCATGCTCAAACTTTCTCGGTAGGTCACCTGAGTCCATACACAAATGTCTCAATTATTTAAGAACAGGATTTGACAACACATTCATATCACAGAATTGCTACATTTCTTTATAAAACTACCAGTTTTCATGCTTTAGATGAATATGATCATTGTTTTCCCCCCTTATACAACTGATGCTGATAATGCAAGAAAAAAAATTGATTTTTATAAAATTTTGAGAATAGAAATTCCTCTTTAAACTTCTCAATAAAAACTGCATTGATATTGTAAATCACTAAGTATGATACATACAAATTTTCAAAAAACTTTGATTTCTGGAAGTAGACTTAAGTTTTTTGGTGAGACGTGTTGTAAACAGCATACTCTGGTATCATTACATTTCATGGTGGCTCAATATATGTGGACTTCTGGGTGCCTCTCATCCACAAATTTACATCCTCCATGAAGTGAAAAACACCCTTTAGTTCTAGAGTTTTTTCTTTAATATACCTGGTATGAGAAAATAACAAACATGTTAAATTTAAACAATCCAGGAAAACTAGCCCCACATGAATGTTAATTATTCTGCAGTATATTTTAAATGGCTTACATCTTGAAAAACATGAAATTGAGAGATATTTAAACAATAAAATGCTTTATTTGGTTTTTAGTATGGGAATTAATGTTGCAGCTGTTGCTGAAAAAAAAAATGCATAACCCGCATAATTGGGAGGCATGATATATATTAGTTTAAGGTCTTGTCATGCATGGAATTTAATTTATTTCTATTTTAATCCTATTATTAGAAAATTCTCGATATAATATTCATATTTTGCTGCTATTTCTCCAAATTGAATCACTGTTGGTACTATTCCTAATTGCAGGGATAAAAAACCTTTAGTGAATATGACTGGTTGTTTTATACAGGAGGAAGAGAGGAATACCAACTGACAGGACTCTAAAGAAAGCATAACAATTAAGGGATGGACTTTGTGGAAAATATCAACGTTTGGACATTATACATCTCAAACTTATGTATAAATATATATGTGTGTGTGTGTGTTAGTGTCTGTTATGTTTGAGTGTGTTTATGAGTTTATAAGGTTCATTGTACATTTTGCTTTTGCTTTTTCTCGTAATGGAGTGTTAGCCCTGACAGTTTCTCATTTTGTTGCTGCATTGTTAAATAATATGGCCTTTTATTAACCTCTCTATGTCCCTGTAGTAGCTATTACTAATTCAGGTCAGTCACAGTGAGACAGAAATTTTTTAAAAGGATATCTTTTGATGCATGTTTCACACTTGGGGGGTTCAGTCATAATCCCTAATATAATAAAGACCCATTGACACCATTTGGGATGTGTCCTCAATCATTTCTTGATCCTTGTCTGGATCACATAATTTAATAAGGCTTAAGATTGTGAGAAATTTTCATTTGATGATCTTAGGAGCAATGTGTGTCAAAGGTTAAGTCTGTGTTGCTGTGACCTTCCGTCAGATATCTGAGTGTTGTATTGGAATTTCATCATGGATATTTTAGTTAGGGTCAGGATTTTCAGTCCTTTTTCATTTAAACATTCAATCCTTGTCACATAACACATCTACAGACACTTAAACAGTTGTGTCTGAAACCTTAAGTAGGCACTTAATATTCCATTATGAGATTTATTTTGAAGAGGGGTTCTATTCATTATCTTGTGTTAATAACTATCACATAATTTAAGGGCATTAAAGTTGAGCAGAAAAAAATGATCCATACTAAATATGATGCTCTCCCCTAGGGCCCAGTGCTGGCATGCCAGAGTACAAAATCTCCAGGTTTTTTTGCCCTTGCAAATTTTAATTCTATGGCTGTGAGAAGAATATGGGCTTTAAGGTTTCTCATTGATACTGAGTTTAACAAGGGTCTGTTCTGCACCCTTTAATATTGCTTCAACATACATGCAACTGAAAAATTGAGTAACTGTTAAGTGTTTGGTATGTGCATTTGTTGTGCTGTATTTATGACAATATTATATTGGGAGGTGGTGTGAATTTGGGCTAAGTGTTCAAATATACATGTACTATTTCTGTGATTAGGTGTTAGGCATATCAAACTTCCTACACTTCTTCTATTTTTGTATGACTGAAAACTATGGGATAAAATTACAGTATTTCTATGTATTTCTAAGTGAAGGGATATACATAAAGCACCATTGGGATTAGTACAGATACCGGGACCATTTTGTATCCTGATAGTGATGCACCTCATCTTGGTACCCGATCTCCATTCAAACATCTCTAGTAATCATATTGGTGTAGATGTGCACAATCTGTGCAAACTGTTTTTGTTGAAACTATGCCCTGATTCTGCATCACTTCTCTGAGGACAACAGTAGTTTTGATTTGCTCTGGCTTTGTGCTGTATTCTCATGTTTATTAAACAGAGCATTTACATCATATTTCTTGAAAGTCAATTTCCACAGAGGAAATTAATTGTGTGCAAAACCTGAGTCAGTGAGGTAACATGTTTGTGCGCTGAAATTTTCTTGGATGCTAAAACGGTGTGTGCATATTATTTTGTGGATTTGAGTTTGTGTCCTTGAAAATTTTTAGCTAGCATGAATATGTTGCCTTTCTGACCTGGGTTCATACTCCCTATTCATATATAAGTAAAAAACATGGGGTCATGATTCACCCTTCACAATGACTTGCACATGCATCCATTTAAAAGTTTAGCTCTTATTGCTGTTTCATGTCATCTAGTAAATTAACTTGTCAGTCTTACTGTAAATGACCTTGTCACTTAATGTTGAGGACAATGGTGTTATAGCATAATTAATTATAAGTCATAATGACTCCA